AGTCAGGCGCGAAGTGGGGGGAGTGCAAAGCGTGTTCCGGTCGCGATCCGAGGTCGACGCGATTTGGGAGTCACGACGAATTTGCGACCCTTCCGTTTCTCAGGTGCTCCGGCTTGAACCCTGTCAGGCCGGTGAGGGTGTGTACATGGGGAGGTCCACTGACCCTCCCCATTTCTATATGTATTGGTGCTTCTTCAGGGACCTAGGTTGCTGTCTTCCCTTCACTCAGTTTGAGTGTGATTTTTTGAACCATACCAACGCGGCTCCTTGCCAGTTGCACCCCAACAGTTGGGGTTTTTTTGCGGGCTTTCGAAGTCCTTTGTACAGTTTTAGGGATAGAGGTGTCTCTTCTCGTTTTTCTTCATTTTTACTAGCTGAAGCTGGGTGTTCCTCCTTACGGTATTTTGTCCCTGAATGGGGGTAGGGATGGGGTTTTTCCACCCTTTACTCCCAACCCCGCGCCTTGCCTTTACCCTTGGCAGGCGCGGAGGAACCAACACCACTCTCCCCAACCATAGAAGAAAAGAAGAAAGAAAGACTCGAAAAGGACTTGGGAAAAAAGAAAAGAGAAAACGGTGGAAAGGAAGTACCTGGTACTCCTCCTCAGAAAAGAACCCTAACAACGAGTGGGTTACCAGAAACGAAAGAAACGGAGACGGAGGAATAGCAAAAATGAGAGAAGCAGTGTACGCGAGAAGATGAAAAAGCACAAGTAAGCAAAGTGAAAAGGGAGGAAGCGCGAGAAAGGGGACAAAAGGTCTCTCAAAATTCAAACGGTCGCGACACGTGTCAACCAAGGGACGCACCTGAACACGCAATAAATGAGACCCATCATGACAAAAGGAGCCATCATTGCGTAACCGTCACACCCATCAACGCGCCGGCCTCGGTTACTGAAATAAGAAACGAGTTATGACACGGTCTCTTTTGCAGGTACCAACCCCATCTCGGAACACCCAGCATACCAGTGAAGGAGGCTCACCGATCTTACTCTTGTACCAGTGAAGAGCACTCTGCCTTCCGTGACCAGGTTCGTAGAAAGGGCCCCATGAAACCGGAACAGGGCCACAAAGATAAAGTAAGAGTCAACAATGACAGCCAATTCAAGAAGCCGGCCAGAGCAAACAGAGGGGGGAGGTACGACTTCTACACACCCCTGAACGCCCCGAGAGTCCACATCCTGGAGGAAGCCAACAACAGCAACCTACTCTCCCTTCCGCCACCCGGCCACACTCCCAACAGCGCCGACAAGTCCAAGCATTGTTTGTACCACAGGAACCATGGCCACACCACGGAGGAGTGTCGCACGCTCCGGGATCGTATCGAAGAACTCATCTAGGCAGGCCACCTCGGCCAGTACGTCCAGCGACAGCAAGGTCACCGAGGTGGCTATGGCGGCCGGGGACGAGGGAGAGGTCGCGGGTCAGGAGCTCGCACGGACCTACCCACAGGGTCCCAGCAAAATGCTAGTGGCGCAGTACAGGCCGAAATAAGTCAGGAGACAGAATCAGCTCCCTTACGGGGAGTAATCAACACAATTGCAGGTGGCTTTGCTAGGGGAGGCGCCAGCAGCTCGGCCCGAAAAAGACACCTGCGAAGTATCAACTGCGCCCACTCTACCGTTTCAGTCTCACACCAGAGCTCGCCGCCGATCTCTTTTTTTGACGAGGACTATGCAGGCGTTAGCCCTAACCAAGATGATCCCATGGTCATCGTGGTGGAAGTCGCCAACTGGGAGGCACAAAAGACACTCATCGACCAAGGAAGTTCGGCCGACGTCCTGTACTGGCCAACGTTCCTCAGGCTAGACGTCCCCCATTCTCTCATCCAACCGCATACAAAGCCCCTAATCAGCTTTGCAGGAGAGCGGGTTCACACTCGCGGGTACGTAGACCTATTGACAACCTTCGGGGTACCCCCAGATGCAAGGAGAATCATGGTTCGATACCTCCTCGTGGAGGCCAACACCTCCTACAACATCATCATCGGGAGGCCAACCCTGAATCATCTCGGCGCGGTGGTATCCACTCCGCACCTCACCATGAAGTTCCCAGGGAATGACGGTAAGATCATCTCCGTCAAAGCAAACCAGAAGACAGCTCGGCAGTGCTACGCCGAAAGTCTGAGGATCTCCTCGTCCGGCAAGGAAAGCAAGGGGAGTCCCCCCACCGTAACCCACTAGATCCCATTCTTCTTTAATGTACGAACAAAGTTGTGCACTCTTTTCCCGCCTCAGTCCCTGACTGAGAGGGTTTTTAACGAGGCACACAAAAATAATCAATAAAATTATTCGTTTTGCTCAATCCATTTTCTTACCTGTTGCTTTTGTAAAAATCAAAATTGAACTAGCCTCTTTTATGCTTATCCGAGGTCGAGTCCGAACCTCTCTAAAAATATAAGGTCGAATACGAACCTTAGCACATTCATTTAAGGTCGAAAACGAACCTTAACACATCTCATTTAAGGTCGGATACGAGCCTTAGCACGATTATCCGAGGTCGAGTCCGAACCTCTCTAAAAATATAAGGTCGAATACGAACCTTAGCACATTCATTTAAGGTCGAAAACGAACCTTAACGCATCTCATTTAAAGTCGGATACGAGCGTTAGCACGATTATCCGAGGTTGAGTCCGAACCTCTCTAAAAATATAAGGTCGAATACGAACCTTAGCACATTCATTTAAGGTCGAATTCGAACCCCAACACTCAAAGCCAAGGTCGAGTGCGAACTTCGGCCAAATTATAAAGGTCGAGTTCGAACCTTCATTGAATCGTCGTATTCAAATAGGAGGTCAAGTTCGAACCCTAACACGCTTACTCAAGGTCGAAAACGAACCTTAACGCATTCATATAAGGCCGAGAACGAACCTTAACGCGCTTCTTTAAGGTCGAAAACGAATCTTAACGCATCTCATTTAAGGTCGGATGCGAACCTTAGCACGATTATTCGAGGTCGAATCCGAACCCCAGCATGGTCAAGGTCGAACATTAGCGCGTTTTCTTAGTTAAAATACGAACCTCAACACACTCATCTAAAGGTCGAGAGCGAGCCTTAACGCATTTATCTGAGGTCGAGTCCGAACCTCAACATTACAAGGACGAGTTCGAACCTTCACCAAACAACTACACTCACATCCGGAGTCGGGTCCGAAACCCCCCTAAAACTATGAGATCAAATACTAATTCAGGTCGAACACGGATCACATCTGAGGTCGAACACGAACCTCGATGTCCCCGCCTAAAGGTCAAGTCCGAACCTTAGCCAAATCATTGTACTCAAAATTGGGGTCGAATTCGAACCCTGGCTCAATTGTTCCATTCAAATTGGAGGTCAAAGTACGAACCCCAAATGTGCAAGTTCCGAGGTCGAGTACGAACCACTTACCTGAGGGCGACTTTGAACCCTGGCAAGGCACACCCCACTCTCAATATCGGGGTCGAATTCAAACCCCGGCACGACCGACTTAAGGTCAGATTCTGACCTTGACTCCAGTCTAGGGTCAATTATGAACTTTCACAACGATTACTTAGTCCAAATTCGAGATCAAATACGAACCTTAACACATTCATCTAAGGTCGAGTTCGAACTCCCACGAAATATTTTATTAAACAAAAAACTGAGGCCGACCTCGAACCTCGACTTCACCAACTCAAGGTAGAAGTATCGCCATATACAAAAGCATATAACAGACACCAAACGTGTGCCTCAAACAGTGCGAACAACCAAAATCGAACGCAAATATGGACAAGATAGAGCAAAATATATATACATATAAACAAAGTTCTCAAAATTCAATACATAAACTCAAGCAAAAGAAAAATAAACCAAGTTATTACAAAGGCGGCCTAGGCTGAAGCACCCCCGCTAGAACTGTCATCGGCATCGTCCTCCTTGACTAGCCTCCCAAA